CAAAGGTTTAAAAGTTTTTATCGTGGTGTAAATTTAAAAAATTTCTTTTAACAAATGTTTCAAGTTCGATTTTGATTGTTTCGCGTGATGTATTTTTAAGTTGCGGCTGGTTAAGCAATATAGAATAATCAAGGATACATGTTCGAAGCTTCTTGGCAATATCTGTAAAATCTGTGATGTTTGTAAGTATATGTATGTAAGCGAGTGTTCGAGAAATAGCGAGAGAGTGCATGTATTTATTTGTTGCTTTTTTAGTTGATAGATTTGTTTGTTCGTTTTGTTTAGATATTACGATCTCGAATATTGGGTACCAATAAATCAACAAATTGGCAGATCATAAAACCATTTGTTGGAGTTCATTTAAATATGTATGTAAGTTCTTTAAGATAATTGATTATATTTAAAACTTGGACCCTAGTTGAATTTTGCCATAATTTTTCACTAACGCGCACAAAATTTTAGACATACCAAGGATAAGAAAGGAAAGTAATAGCAAAGTAGGCAATCATTAAGGTAAACGAATCAATAAGTGACCTTTCTTTTGCATGTTTATGTAAATGTAAGTATATTTAATTCACTGCTGCAAATTGTCTGTTAGTTTCTGTTTTTTAGCAATTATTTATCATTTCACTAAAAAGTAGGAACTTCTGTCTGTTTTTTTTTTTTTTTTTTAACTTGTATGCTGTTTGTTTTTCATGTAGTTTCAATGTTGCAATTTCCCAAACTGAACTCAGATGTACAAAAAATAAAAACAATTCAATATTAAAGAAGCAAGTAAAACACAGATTTCGCTAGCTATAATATGTATGTACGTTTATATATAAGTATATATTTTATATATAAGTTGCATGCGTTTGTCTAACCGCCAAAGTAAACAAGAAAAAACTCTTAATACAATACAAACGCAACAACGATTTCATTTCCATTTGAGTTCCTTGCACTTTCTGCTCAAAAACCACACTCGCAAAATTTCTGCTACTAAAAATACTAATGAGCACACAAATCTATAAAATCTATAAAATATTGTACCAAAAACACTTGAAATAAACCTCTTAAAAAAGTATACTGTAACTATATAAAATTAATAATTCATTTTTGTCTTTCTCCGTTGGCAAAATATTTAACAAATTCTCTATGCTTTCATCTATGACTCACTGTCTACGAGGACAATGTCGTAACCTGGTACGCACTCGGTTCCGGTCCGTTTGCTTAAAATAATTTCGTTTTGCTCTTGCTTTTAGTTTTCAACACTTGCGATTTTGCTGCATTTCTGATATATCTTATTTTCTAATGCTATCGCTCTTTGTCAAACGCTTGACTCTAACTCTATTCATAACGCTCAATTTCTATACTCTGTTTTTCTGTCGGGTTGCTCTGGTATGTGACTGCTCTGAACGGAAATGTTTGTGGGGCATATTGTGGGATCGGTCTATGCGAATTCATAAAAAGTGTCATTAAAATCAACTACTCGTACTCATATGACAAATCTGGTTGATATGTTTCTGTTGATGTTATATGTATATGTATAAGTATGTTGCGCATGTGATTCGATTTGGATTGAGTTAAGAAAATTGTGTTCGTACTCCTGTTCCATTTTAGTTTATACCCTTCTTTTCGACGTTTTCACTATTTTAGTATTTCTTTTTTGTTTCTTTTTCAATACAATTATGCACAGATTATAGCTACAATTACATATAGTACACACATTTTGCATGCAAGTAATGTAGTATGCGCGGGTGTCAGCTTCGAGCGAGCGTGTTACACAACTAAAACTGATGCATACATGCGGACACGTATGTATGTATGTACACATATATGCTAGCATATTTGTATGTAATTCATATTTTCTTAGTCTTGAATTTATTATGCTTCCATATGCATTTTGGTAAAATCTCGAAATGTACAACTTATAACTGTTTGCTATGCCTTTTAATTGTGTTTAATTTATTTATTTGTTCATTTCAGAAATATTTTTTTGATGTATGCAACTTTTTGCTTTATGACTATCCTTCAAGTCCCGCAGCGGGCGCAAATCAGAACACAAAGCTAATATGTTTGCTCTGCTTCGTTCATTATATGTAATTCTTTATCTGATAAATTTTTAATTATTAAATTCTTCAATGTACTCGTAAACTATGTATTCAGTTGATGTGTTTTTTTTTTTTTATATTTTTCTCTACATGATAAAGTAATACTTTTAGCGTTCTTTTTGTTTTTTGCTTTTGTTTTTTTTTTCAAATAGCTGAGTTGCATATTTTCCACCTATTATGATGTATGTATGTACTTAGTATGTATGTATATAGTTCTATTAATTCGCATGCTGCTTATCTCGGTGTGTTCTTGTTCATTATCAACATAAACACGCTGTAGCGCAAATTGTATCTATGTATCTGTATGTATATTATCGTTGGGCTAAATATTTGATTACGCTTTGAACGCTGCATTTTGAAGTGCAGCCGCATTGTTGCTCTGCCGCCTTCATAATTCATTTGGATTGATTTCGATTGAGTAAGTGTGTATGTGAATATGAGAGTTCGTGTGGTGTGTGTGTGCCTGTGTGTTTGTCAGTGGTTAGGTATCTTTTGTGTGTGTGTGTCTTTATATTGTTTTACAAACACATTATTAATTTATGATTCAACTTTTCACATATTTTCTTTACTTTATTTCCTCCTGCTTTATTTGTTTTATTTTGTTTCGCATTCTTTGCTTTTCTGTTGTAAGTAATTATAGTTTTTGAAATACTTGTATGAAATTTTTGATTTGTCAAGAGTTCTCATTTGAAATTCTAGCAGTCGTGGGTTTGATATATATGTATAGTATATATATATATATATTTATCTCTCTTTACCTTGTATTGATGCGCTAACAAAACGTGTATATATATATATATATATATATATATATGTATATATATGTTTATATATGTATTTATATAGTAGACATAGACATAGGCATAGACATAGAGCATATAATAAGTTAATTAATTAGGTTGTAGATAAGTTAAGATTAGGATAGAATGTATACATGAAACGCTAGAGTTTGTTTAAAAATGTACTTTAAGCATTACATGTGAAATGTGTGTGTGTATGCAATATATGGTTAAGTATGTGTTCTCTTTGTCTGTGTGTTGTTGTAGAGTTTCAAAGGAACTCACACTTGCAAACTTGTCCCTAGTTCTAACCATACTATACCATATATGAATGCTTGTATGCAAATAGCAGCTGCTATTTGCGACTTGTTCGATAACTGTAAATACCGTATGTTATTTAATTATACATTTTACAATATTTTACTGTTGCTTTTCGTACACGTTTTTTGCTTCAATATTTACTATTTCTGTAAATTGTTAATTTTAAATTACGATCACTGCTACTTATGCTTAAAAACTAAATCCATATCATTCAGTTACAGTTACAATTAGTTTATTTAATCATTTTGTTTTTATTTTTTCTTTCTTCTTTCTTCTTTTTGTGTTTGTTTTTGTTCTTTTGCGCCAACGTATAAATAATTTCACTTTCTAAATATATATAAACATTGATGTGTGTATAGTTAGTTGTGCCTGTCTGTCTCTGTGTGTGTTCTCATGGTTGTGTGGGGTTCTTGTAAAATTATCAAAAAATCATTGAGTTTTTTTTTTCATTTTTCTTTTTGTTGTTTTTTTGTTTGTATTTGTTTCGCTAAAAACACTTATATGTCTTTCGGTATGCTTAGGCCTAAATATAATTACGATTTTTGAGATTTTACTTCCGTAGCTTAAAATTTGTTTTATTTCCTGTTTCATGTTTTTGTTGTAGTTCAACATATACTTATATATATGCATATGTATGTATATCCAATATGCAGTATATATTTCTTATATTTTCGTTTTGTGTATATATTTTGCTAGTTTAACAACACTTACATATACACACACAGAAGGTTTTACGTACGCGTTTTAATTAGTTTTCTATTTTGTTTTTTATTTAACTGCCTTTATTATTACATTTTAGTTTTATTTTTTTTACTTTGTTTTAATGCTAAACGAACAGACGTACTAAATTTATAATGGGGTTTCTCTTCAAGTGCCCGAATAGTTGCTTTATTATATTTAAATTTAATACATTTCCGCGCCATTCTGCTTGGCTTCAATTACATTTTAAGAGTCAGTATGCACGCTGATTGGGGGGTTTTTTTTTTGAGATTAACTTTACTTTTAACATTACTCGTACCGCTAACAAAATGAAAAACGTTTAAAAACTGCTTAAATGCGCGCATGCATTTTAAGTTCATATGTTTTTTCTTTTGTTTTTTTGCTTTTTTTTTTTTTTTTGTAAAAAATAAGGGTTTTCAATCAAAGTTTCAATCACTTAAAATATAATAACAGTAAATACTCGTACACAATAAAAATTTGTTTTTTTTTTTTTGCTTACTTCATTGTTTAACATAAATTGATTTGTTTTTTGTTTGAATTTGACTTTCTGCTGTTTCTTAAAACCAAAACACAGTACAGTGCACTTAAGTTAGTTCTAAGTTTGCTTTGCTTCTTCTTTCTCTCTATGCAATGCAACTTACTTATGGACTAAATTTAAGTTTTAACTTTAAGCTTATGATTATACGACGTCGCTGATTGTTTAGTGGGCTGCTTTTGTGTTTCCCTTTCTATTTGTTGTATTTGTTTCTCTTAATGCTTGTCTTACAATTGAAATTTGAAATTGTATTCATCATTTTAATATATATATATATATCAATTAATTGTATAGTTTTGTTTATTAGTTTTTAGAATTTCTGTAGTAAGTGTTATGATAGAGTTTTGCGCATTGTTATAATAAAAACAGAAATTAGATTTTAGATTTTGTTTGTATATAAGTAGCTATAGCTCTTGCATCGATTGTTGCTGCAGTTGTTTGATGGGTTGGGTTGTATTGGGTTGGTTGGGCTCGCTTCTCAGTTGAAGTGGATGTGGTGGCGATTGCCCAGCACGCCGCTTGTACTACGAATAATAGATTGTATCTGTTGCTGCCAAAAGAACTGCTGCCGTAGTGCATAGCTGCTGTTGGCACTCAGTCAAGTTCAGTGAACCTGACCACGGGTCGGATTCTAGATGTTCGACTTGGAGAAGCTCACGCGCAAATGATTCGACTCGGACAGCTGATGGTTGTGCATTTTGATCAGTGCCAGCACAGCCTCCTCCACCGACGACAGTTGCAGCAGCGCCATTTTGCGGTCCTTACTGCAAATGCATACAAAGATAATTAGCTATATTCGCTGTAAATTGTAATCTATATATTCATTTACTCACGGGAAAAATTTGAATGCTTTAACCTCGAAATTGTTGGAGCTGAAGGCTTCTTTGATGTCATCCTCGGTACAGGATGAGCTGTAAGGAGCAAGAAGAAAAACGTTCGTACGCTAAATTAACACCTATCGATTTAAATTGGCATGCTGCGCGTCTATAGATATCGCATAAACACCACACCAAAACAGCAGGCACAAGCACAGAGGCACAGCTACAGTTACAGGCATTGCCATAAGCACATAAATTCAAACGGCAGGCACCTTGCCGCCTCATCCCCGCCATGGCACACAAAAAGCTGGCGGGGCGCTTTGTCATATTTGGCAGACAAAGCGACGCGGGACGTTTGCCTCTGACAATGGCTGCGACTGCGACTGCGGCTGTAGCTGTAGCTGGAGCTGTGAATGGGCCACCGGCCCGGGAGGTGGTGCTGCTCATAACGGTAATTGTAATTGCCCGCGTGGCGTTGCTGATGAGAAAACCAACTCCAGCTGTGCACGCGTTACGCAGGACGGCTTTAAACGCTAGACAACGAAATGCTCAACAATAGATACTCACGGAATGTTACTTAAATGCAGTGTCGCCGATGGCGGGTAGATGTTCTGATAGTTCTTGCTGCCGGGCTTTTTGAAACGGTGCAATGGATTCTGTGAGTAGTCACGTGTGAGGCCCGCGTCCGGCTGTCCCTCCTTGGGCAGTTGCACGGCCTGATGTTTGCTGGCCATGACACGTATTGGCTTGCCCCATAAACGTAATTTATCAAGGTGAGACATGGCTGCAAAAATAAAATAAAAAAATGGCAACAACAAAATAAAACACAATGTTAAAAACGTTAAAACGAATGGCAATGCAAGAATTTAGTGGGAAAGGTTGTGCCAAGAGCTTGTTCAGCTTGTGCGGGTGATAGAATATTTGTTCACGTTCCATGTTGTATAACATGTGTTTACACATGTGTCTGATGCAATTTACTATGTGTAGTATATATACATATACATATATATATATATATTTATATATACATACATGTTTGTAAATGTGTTGCGCTACAAGCCATAAAATTACCCAGAACCTCCTTGTGGAGTCAAAGTCAGCAATAAGTGCAAGCAAATATTTACATACTAAAATGTAACTGCAACTTTATCAATGTCGTCTGCCTTTGGTGATTTACAAGCAAATGACTCGCCATAAAATGCATTGCCCGCAAAAGTTTGCTCTTGTTCAGTTTTTTTTTTTCCAATTTTTTGTTTCCAGCCACCCCCAACGAGACGTCGTTTGTTTCTCATGGTCTCGATAGTCATAACACCTGCGGCTCAATTGCAAATAGACAACAGTTGTACAACATGCCAGTTAAACGAAATAAATACTGTTTCTATTTTCATATTCGTTTTCGATTACGATTACGATTTCAATTTCGATTACATTTTTATTCAATTTCTTGTGAAGTCATGCTGGGACTGGGTCTGGGACTGGGAGTCGGCATGCCTCAGCCCAGAACGTGTCCCTTTTTTTGCATTATTTTAATAAATTATATAACATTTTATCATTTTGCTCAGTTGTCACGGACATTGAGATGGGGGCCGTGGAGTGTGTGGGTGGAAAGTAGATGACATCGTGTTAGGTTGCTTATGTTTTATTGTAAAATAATATGCTTACTCAGCCGTTTATTGTTTGCCTAATGGATTAAATGATTTTACAAAAAAATACAAAATACGGCTTGAAAATATAATAAATTGTAAAATAAAGGCCAGTCGGCTGAAGGACAACGAGACGAAAGGCAAGCAACAGCGGCAGCAGTGACAAACGCTTCTGCCATTTTGCCACATGCGACGAGTATATATGTATGTTGTATGTAAGTGTATGTATGTATGTATGTATGTCTGTATGACAAACACTTGTAATAAAGATTAATGTGCAGCCGAGAGAGCCAGCGCTTTGCTCTGCTAGCCCAAAATGGTAGGACTAACTTTGCCTATCATCGCAGCGCCTTTCAAAATGTGCTGCAGCTGCGCTCGTGGCGGCGGCTCTCGTGGCTTTGGGCCTGGGGGCCCAACTCAAAAAGTAACTCAAAGTTTTAATTACCAGCCTGACCAGTAGCAGCAACAGCAACGGCAACAACAACAAATCATTATTAACTTACAAGACATTATCAAAAAAACAAAAAACAAAAACAAAATATTTATAAAAAGTGCACGTACAGCTGAGCACCGTATAAAACCATTGAATCCCGAAAAATATGAGTCAGTAAAGTTTGCCCAAAGACCCCAAAATGACTTGTAGATGTGGCTGACAGGATTTGTGAGTGCATTAACCCATTTCAGTCGTTTAAGCCAACAACACGGCAATATAATTAAAGTAATGTTAACGTCGTGTCAATTTTGACCTAACATCAATTTAACCTGGCTCAGGTGAGATTGATTAATCTCAGGAAAACCTGACTAACCGAAGTCGGTTGGCAATAGCTGAGATATTTGTTATCGGTTTATGGTACAAAGTACTATCTAAAGTCAGTTCATAAAAAAGTTTGCGGTGCTTGAACACTGCATAATTAATTTGGAGCACATAAAGATGGACGCCAATTCATTCAACGAGTCACTTAACGCAAAAGTTTGTCAAAACGCTTCACACAAGTTTCACTTGGCGTATGCGTAATTCCTACCGTGTGTGTCAGCATGCTAGTGTGTGTGTGGCTGTTGCTGCTGCAAAAATATTTGTTTGTTTTTATTGTAAATGCTTTTATGCGTACACTGCTGTTCATGCAAAATATTTTGTAGTAATTTGTGTAGCAAAAATTTATTTACGCAAAATTCCCCAGATAACAACTATAACAGGAGAGGGAGAAGGTGGAGCAAGCTGGACAGCCACAGTGGGCTGTGCAGCTGTGCGTGTGCCTATAAATTTATATGAGAGTTCTGTCTATAGTTTGTAATAAGTTTCGCAAAAACTTAATCCCGGCACGGCAGCCAACAAATGGCGCGCGTCCGGCCATTTGCACAATGTCGACATCGTCGCCAACGCCAACGCCAACTCCTGGCCGAATGGGACATTATAATATTTCCCACACACACACCCACATACACACACACAACTCAAGCTGCTTCAATGGAGTGGACTATCGAGTGCCCACCCAGTGCTTATTGTTTTTTCATTGTAGGTGTTTGTGTTTTTGTCTATTTGTGCTTTGGCTTTGCCTCTTGATTGCTGTCGCACTTTATTTGGACCGAGTTGGGGCTCGGTCTGTCCGGTTGTCTGGTTGTCCGACTCGCAGGCGCTTCGTTCTCTTGACTTCATTTACACAGACAAAAAAGTTATTTTCGCCTTTACGCTGTAATTCGTATGCTGAGTGTGCAATTGTAGCCGTATTTTGTGCGCAACAACAAACACCATACTGTCCTCCTCTGGAGAGACACTTTTATATGCATGGGTGTGGGCTGGATTGGTTGGCAGGGGGTTATGGGCTGCCAGGACATCTGCTGCCTGGGCAATAGACTGGGTTGGCCCAGGGTCGGTAATCGTCTTTGTTCTGGCAGAGTTGCGAGAGTTTTGGGCAAAGTAACGAATGAATTTGTTAATATTTTATGAGTGCATAAGTGCGCACTCAACGACCAACAGCCAGACGCCCAAAACAACCAACACACTTACACGGCGGCTAGTGCGACGTTACCTGAACAAACGGATGGACGGCCGAACGGGCGGACTGGCAGACGGACGGATGCCAGGAGAGAGGCCGGCGGTACTCAGCCGGAAGTGTTTGCCATTTGGCAGCCCTCGCGGCACATTAGTAGTCTGTATGTTGACGCAGGGCCATTAATATTTCCACATGCCAGCAGCAATTGGGTGGATGTGTATGTGTTTATGTGTGTACAATAATTTGCTTGTCGAATAGCATTGGTTTTGTTGCCACAAATAAAGCGAGCCATTTTGTTTGCGAATCTAAAATAGTTACATCAGCTACACAACATGCTGCGGTTTGCCTTTTGTCAACTCACTAACAAATATAATTAAAAGTGCGTATACGGGAGGTTGGCTGGCATCGGATTCGGAGACATTAGCAAACTATATAATTTGATGTATTTTCAAATATGCAACGGATTAGCCAAGCAAATTGAAAAATAATTAAATCAGAACCAAACAGAGAAAGCAAATAGAGCGAAAGCAGCAATAGCTCGCATTACTTAAGCATAAATCAGCACAAAGTTGGAATGCTTTTGAGCTCAAATATGCAGCTGCATAAACAAAACAAAATCGAAAACAAAAAAAAAGAACACCAAATAGCAACATGTTTGCATAATGATAATTGCAAAAGTTAATTGAGTGCAGCACAAAGCATATTTTTAACGGATCATCAAAGGCAATGGCCAATGATTGTTTTTGCTGCTGGTTGACATATTTCTCTTCTTTTTATTTGGTTTTTAAATTGAAATCGATAAAAAAAAATAGTGGAGGAGGAGCAAAAAGATGACATTTTTTGTCGTGCATATATATTAATGTTGGCCAGCTGCCATTCGCGCAATTTGCTGACAATTTCCGCTACAATGCTTAACGCTGTTGCTGCTGTTAATGTGCACGGCATTTATTTCACTAATTAAATTTATTTAAACTTTATTAATAACAACGACTGCTGTATGTGATGCTGCGGGCACAACGAGCAAAAAAAGGGGGAAAAAAAACAACCAAAAACAATTGGAAATTATATACACATATTTATAGGCATATGGAATATGTGAAAAATTATTTGTTAAGCATTTAAGCGTCAGCAGCTTAAGTATTTTTGTGTAATTATTGCATATTTATATGTATGTTGCATGCCCCAAAGCGGCTTAAAGTAAGTAAAAGGCACAACTGCAAGCAGCAAGGAACAACGCTGCGTATGCGCAATGCTCGCTTGCAATTACAATGCTTAACGACTGCTCGTTGTCATTTCCAATTTTCAATTTAATGCCCAGCGGCGGCACAACTTTGACTGCTTTTGAGTTATTTTTGAGATGAACAAAAGCCCCCTATACCTTGACCAGCCACCCGGCCGTCTTCCTGGCCTTGCTGACGTATTAAATGGAATAAAACCAAATTGAAATTGAAAAGGTGTCGCTGCCAACGCTGCTTGTTTTTCCTGCTGTTTTTTATTTAATACCTCGAACCCATTGAAAATGGGTAGAAAGGGTATTATGTTTTTGTGCAAATGTATGTAACAGGAAGAATAGAGCATCTTCGAACGCGTAAAGCAAATATATTCGTGATCAGGACGACGAGCTGAGTCAATCTAGCGAACAAGTCGATCTCGTTGAAACGTAGTTCTTTCAAGATTAACTCGATATATACACATTAGGAATATTTCAGGTTTTAGTTAGTTTTAGATAGTTTAAGGCAAATGCAAGAACAAGTAAATCGATTACTTAAAGCGCGCAGAAAGCGTTCTGCTTCAATATGTTTGTTTTGGTGAATGTGTATCTAGAAGATAGAATGTAAAATGCTTGTAAGACCAGCTTGTGATTGGGTTCACGGTATTTCCTAGTCGGACTCTCCCGACTAGAATACTCTTGTCTTTTTTCTTGTGTACGTAATAAAGTGGAATTTGGCACGTCGGTTGACTGCTCTTAACGCCTCGCAATGCGCGGCGATTTTCATTTCGTTTAATGCGCACACTAACAGCCAAAGGGAATGCGGTGTATGGAGCATAAGAGATGGGGGCTGCGGCAACCTGACAATGGCAAAGTGCACACAAATAAATGCAATAAAATGATTGGCATGCCTGCTGAGCGAGCATGGGTCAGCCTTTTGCTGCCCCCAGTGACGCCCAGAGGCAGCAGCAGCAGGACACGTGGGGCAGAAAAGCAGCCAGACCAGGTATTGGACAGACGCTGGTAATAAAGCGCTTATAAAATTTCATTTATGCGCACGGCCAGCCAACCGAACCGCTCGGCTCACCTAGCGTCGCTGTAGCTATACTCTACTCAACTGTGCATATCTGTCCATTTCCCCATCTCTTTCGCTTTAACAATTTTTATTATTAATACATTTTGTTTGCTGCATTTGCAGCTGCAACAGCAACAAGAACAGTGGGCAACAATGGATGCCAAAGGTATGCAATGTTTGGAATTTCATGTTGCTGGAATTTCTCATTTTAAACCAGCTGCAAATTGCAGTTGCTGTTGCTCGCATTTCATTTATCCATTTTTTTATACCCTGTTTATATATATGGTTACATAGATGAGCATATATAGGCATATATAATATAGCGCCCTAAAATTGATATATTCTTATATTCTAAAGCGAGGCAGTTAATATTATATTTTATATTATCATTTACATTTTCCAGTTAACACGCATTTCTATCTCCCAGGCGAAATAATTTCCTATGTTCTTTTAACCGGTGAGAAAACGCTACAATAGCTCATTACGCCGGTGATTTGTGATGCATCAAATGTTGACAAATTTATATTTTTATATATATGAACGAATGTGCTACTTAAAAACTGTTTTCAGGGTATCCCCCTGTCTATCACTCTCAACTAGAGCGGCCAGTTTTATTTTCTTCTTTTTTTTTTTTTTTGGATCTGATGCGCCTTTCAACGCCGCAACGAGCGCAGATTTTTCATTACTTTTGGGGTGGCCTGTAGGGGGGGACGAGGGCAAGGCTGTAGGTTTCGGCATGTTTGACTTACCCAAATAAGCTTGCTGTGGCTCTGCCATTTGTATGAGTGCCGAGTCCTTTTTGTTGTACAAAATCTTTACACGTTGCACATCGCCGTATACACCTGTGAATTGCGAAATGGTTGGTATTATTAATATGGATTTCATTTTATTGCAATGCCGTTAAGAGTACGCATATAACAGTACAAAAGTTAGGTGAACTTAATAAAGTAACCCACTATTTGCTATCCTAACACACACATTGTAGCTGCTGTTGTGAAACTAATGAATATAGCCCAAATATTTAGTCCATGCCATAGGCAGCTGTATATACCCCACCTACCCAGCCAACGAATCTACTCTTACGATGCAATCTACAAAGTAGAGCGCGGCCATAAGACGCGACTTAAGCGCCGCTCAATTCAAATGGCGGGCCTGGAAAATTCGGACAGCTGCGAGGGTTTTATGCACCGCGCAAATGTTGCTGCCGTCAAAGGACGAAACTTTTTCACACCACCAAAAAGCCATAACGTGTACGAAGATGGTTTCCCAGCCGCTTCTCCATTACCCCAGCCGTGGTTGCCGTCTTCCAGGTGCAGCTGATGCTGCTTGGTATTATTGTCGGGACGGAGCCGTTAGTATCATGTACGAAACTCATAACTAGCTCAATAAGTTTTCTCAGCTATTTTTTACGACCGACTCCAGGCTATGGCTTCGGCAACGCCATCTTCTCAATCCGCAGCTTCAGCTCCAGCTCCAGCTCCAGTTCAGCACTGGCTCCAGCTTGACTCCGTATCCGGCTGCATGCTTTTTAAGGCTGCGCCACGCGGCTGATTTTACAGCTGTCAGACAAGGTGTGAGTGTGACGTTGGCGTTAGCGTTGGCGTTGGGGAGTTGCAGTTGGGGAGTTGGCAAGTTTCGTTGCTGGTCGCGTTATTGAATTGTATTTTATGACTTTACTTACGCGGCGGCGCCGCAAAGTATCCAATATGCATTGGGTCCAGTTGCTCTGGCGCCATATTGTGCCGTCAAACTTTAAGATACTTTAAGTGCAGAACAAGAGCAATTGCTAGTGATTTCTTTAGCCTGGCCAATGGACTTTGCTTTGACAGCTGTCCGGAGCGGAGGTGAAAATAAGCTCGCCCTATGTCCCTCTTGTCCAGCAGTCCGTGTGTAGCCAATCAGCGGCAAATTTGCAGCAGGGCGCAAATTGCCATCAAGCATAAAAATAGTAGTTGGTAGCTAAAAGGTCGCAACCGCGCCCCACGTCCTCGATCTCCCCTCAGCAACGCCCAATGCAAACAATGTAAAGTGCAGGCACCCTCGGTTGCCCAAGACAACAAATCGAATAATGCGAAAAGTAAATTTTCAACTAGCCCTCCCAAAAAATAAAAAAATAAAACTAAAAGCAGAAAACGAAAAAAACCCAATGCCCAGTGGCAGTAAAATGGAGAGAGCTGAGGAGCAGCGATGGGGAGCGCTAACAAGTTACAAAAGTAGCAATAGAAATGCAGGTAGTAAATAGTGCGGGAACGGCGCATAGTTCAACAGTTGGCAGTAAATCCATTTTATACAGTCGACTGGCTGCTCGACTAGCTGACTGCACAGCACAAGCCAGGAAAGTACTGCGAACTGAAACTTGACTTATGCCAAACACCGAAAAATTTCGTTTGCTTCAAATTGGCTTGCCGTAGCAACAATTGCAGCAATAAAGCAAGCCAAGCGAGCCAACTTAGCCAGGCAAACATCGTACGTATCTGCCAGGCATCGGCTGTGGAGCATATTGAATGCCAGTCTTCTGGCTAGCATTGCACCAGCATTAGAAGTACCAGCGGCAGCAGCAGCAGCAGCAGCAGCAGCATCGCAGTTTGACGTCCAACGGGGCGTGTGAGCAACTGCTGCTGCTGCTGCGGCTCCGCCAGCCGGATGCCATGCAAACTGACTACAGGCAGACCGCCTCCAGCTAGTGAGCCAGTCTGGCAGCCAGACTTTATAATAATTTATTATCGCAAAAAGATTTAGCCATATTTGTACAGCCATGCGGCTGACTTTGAATATGTTTGCATACTTTCTGGCGTTCGCGCTGATTCCCCGGCGGCCCATTAGTCGTCCGTTTGAGCGTATATTTTAGATGAAAAAATATCGCAGTTGTCCGACGTTAAATGCAAATTTTCTTGTGGCTTGTGGTTCCCATGAAATAAGCTTCGTGAAAACTTCAAATGGCTAAGTGAATGTGCTGTGATCAATGCTGAACTTGTTGAGTTAATACATAATACATTCTGCGCCTCAACTCTGCAATACTAAATTGATGAAATGTTTAGGAATAGGATTTAACAAGCAAGCTCTGTAAATTGTTCATTTTATTTGAAAGCCATAGCCAATTCGCAGGAAAACACGCTTAGGTACCCAATTCTATGGCATGCTTTTTAGTTAAACGGAACTTGTTAAATTATGATAAATTTTCGTTGAAATTATTCGCAAATATTTTTCCCTTTTTCCGGTCACAGCATTTTATCAAATCGCTTCGCAACCCCTGGCCTGCTTGCCAACCTTCCTGACTGCCATTCTACATGTAGCATATATAAAATTTTATGAAATTTTTTCAGAGCCCGGCAAAAATCACGCACGCAGCTCCCAGCGAGCTCATAAAAATTCAATTAAACACGTTTTCACAATATTTTCGGCAGTGATATAAATTTTTAGCACGCCATTACAATTACATAAGCTGATTACCAATACACACACGCACTCACCCACAGAAGCACACACGGGCATAGGTTTTACTAGACGATTTGCAGACTGATTAAGTTTTTATTGTATATGCAAAAAGAGGGTCAAAAGGCTGTGAATGGCCCAAAAAGTAGGCAACCGTTTTGTTGCCAGCAATAGGCTCTATTAGCACGGCTGACAGACCAACTGGCATATGGCATGCGGTATGCGGCATTTGGCATGTGGCAGGCGGCATGTGTCAAGTGTCTAAAGACCGTATCATAGACATCGTAGCATTGAGCAGGGCAGCCAGCCATCGGGTCGCTCGATTGAAACGTTCGGGGCTGGCCAACAACAAAGCGCTGTCAAAACTAATAAAATGTCTCCTTTAGAAAGGGTTGGCCCCGAACGTGGGCCTTTTTTTCAATTGGGCTTGATCAATCTAAACGTTAGCGTTTGAAGTGCGCTGTTTGCGGCGGGCGTTGCAACCTTTACGCTTGCTTCTTTTATTATTTGATATGCAAACAGCTTTTAGCCAAGAGCAGCAGTACCAATAGAAATAGCAACAACAAACATTGCCAGAGAGCCATGATTGAAGTGCTAAATTTGCCACCTAAACGTGGCCGTCAGACATTGGCGTTCGCGTTATGTGTGGAAATTGTGGTTACGTGTCCCAGCTCATTGGTGCCATTAACATAACAAAAGGCGCTATGCGTATATTAAGCACTTGTGTGTGCGTGTGTGTTTTTGTGTGTGTGTGTGTGTGTGGCTAGTCGCCTGCTTGTTTGTTGTACAACTTGCCTCAAGTGTCACTCGTGGCCAGGGGTCGTGTGCGTTGCGTTCAGCTACTTGGAAATTCAAAAGTTATTACATAAAATTTTAGCGCTGCCATTTAGCTGATTGCTTGCTTAGACTGCTGTCATGTCGCTGGCGAGTTTATCTAAATCTATTGGCACGCCATTTCAAGTCATGTCCTGGCCCCCGGTGATGGTAAGCAGTAAGACTCTTTAGAGCGTTCAGCTTATCGACGTCTCGCTTGCTGTGTGCAACAGGGCGTATGATACCGTACATCTAACAATTTTCTGCTCTACGCTTCACTAGATACGACTCGCTCCTGGTCCGCTTGGCGTTAAATCAGCAATCGAAGCTTTATTAGCACTGCAGGCAGCTGCCAACTGCCATCTGGTAGCTGCCAAAAGAAAGGCAAATGCTGCCAGTTCCTGGTTGCAGTCAGTCTTAACTGTGGCTAACGAGCTGCTGATAGGATTTACTGTGGCTCAGTTTCTATAAGCTGCCCTTTGTTGTGCGCTCTGTGCGGTTATGCGGCTAGACTATGTTTATGTGTATTTGAATAGCTCTAACTATCAGAACAACAACATCAACAAGCAATAATCATTTTTAAACAATTAATGCGTTTGACAAATTTTTGTTTACTTTATCAACGATAAAGCCCGAATTGCTGGCAGAATACAATGCAATTTGTAAATAAATACCACACAAATGAAAACATTTACGTATGAATACATTTACGTACGTATGTGAGTCTAAGTGTATTCGCTTGTATTTAAAGACAAGCAGCTTGCACCACAGGCAGCCCTTAATGCCACCCACATGCTGCATACGTTCTGGACCTTTCGCTCTGTGGTTGCGTTTGTTTGGCAAAAGTTTATATTTGGGTATTTAAACTCAAATTAAATGCATTTGCATGCAAACAAAGCGGCGCACAGAAACAAAACAGACAGATTCACACAATACACACACACACATGGCAGACACAACACACATGCCTCTGTGGGTAAATAAGCCGCAAAAACAAACCGTTTTGTGTCATCAGAGACAAAGGCGGCAACAGACTTAACATTGTTGTGCGTGTGTGAGTGTGTGAGTATGTGGTTGCCAAGTTTTGTGCTGTTGCAGCACAAAAATGCGATACGGCCAGTAGAGGGCAGCAGCGGCATTTTGTGTTGTGGCAACAAATCCATTATGCTGCAATTATGCGCTACACTTGGCAGCAACAACAACGAACTGTTGCTAACATATTGTGCTGCAGGCACTCGTAGCAATCGAAGTATTTTGGTTATTAAATAAAACAAACAGATAAAGGGATAGGATACAGGCAGTGAAAACAAGTTAAATGCAGCGTATGCGAAAAGTCAAGTCCAATTGCTATAAAATAGTAAAACAACACATATACACACAATGAAACAAAACGTCCTCGGCCAGGGGAAGTTGTAGCTGCAATTCAAACAGCAAACCCCATTAACTTTACAAAGTTAGTTAAATTCATTTGGCAAACAGACATGCCACACATGGCGTACGGTAGACGACAAAAAGGCAGCAAGGAGACAATAACCCAACTTAAAAACCCACCAACCCACCGCCCAACCACTCAGCCATCCAAAACAACTAGCTCCGAAAAGTCACAAGTAAATTTTATTTCAATTGTAAAGCCAGCAAAAACTGTGAGTGTATAAAATGCACTCACATACACATATGCATACAGAGGGTAAATTGGGGAGGAAGGGAGACCACACACACATGGTGGCAACAAGAGCAACGGCAACAGAAACAGCAACAGCAACAGCAACAGCAACAAGCGCAATGATAACTAAATAAATGGACATTTTTATAGCTATGCACTTCCGCACTCAATCTTTTGTTGTGCGAGCGCGTGTGTGTGCGTGTGTGTGGCAGGATGAGCGCCATGTTAAAGCATGTGTCCTGTATATATATATATGCATTTGAGCCGAGCTGAGAGCGAGCCGCTTACAATGGGCGAACATTGGGGCAGAGGTGGCACAGAGTGAAGCGCACTTAATTCATGTAATTTTACATGCACACGAGCATGTCGCAGACAACGGCAACCAAGGAGCAACAGGATGCCGTGCAAGTGTGTGTCTGAGTGCGGTTTCACTTGTTGCCCGTTTGCCACAGAATGTTTTTTTAATACGTACGAGCGTGCGTGTGTAGGAGCGTGCGAGCTTGTGTGTGTGTGGTTAGTGTAGATTTATGCAAGTGCATATATTTTCATTTTCATTGTTTTACAATTTGTAAGCACAACTTATGACAGGATAACTGCCAGTGGCAGCCTCTGCATATGCAACTGTTGCTATCTCTTGCGCTTTCCATCTCTATCATACGCTTTACCTCTGGCTGCTTGTGTGTGTGTGTGTGTGTGTGTGTATATGTGTGGTCGAGTATCTAAAGATTACGTTGCGATTTTTACGCAGTGGCAAAACTATTTCAATTTCAAGCTGATGGATTCGCTGCCCCTGGCAAAAAGCTATTAGAAAGCCATTTGTAGTAGTTGCCATTGCTGCCCCGTGCATTTCAATACAATAAATATATATATATATATATGAATTTACTATTTAAACCAGAGGAAATGCACCTCAGCATTTAGATGTTGTTATTTAATGCGAATTTCCGTTGTCATGGCTGCAACTGCTGCCACCTCTGGCTATGACATTTTTATGCACTGGGCTTATGGCTTTATTATGCTCACGCTTTGCATTGTAAAAAAGATTCTTTTACCTTGTTTTGATTAGCTTTATAAGCACTCAAGGACCCTAAAGAACTGTAGATTTAGTAAAAGCTAAAAACACAGGATTTGAAGGAAAACATGTGATACAGCAGTTCGAAGTGAGTCTGTTTCAAATAATTGACTTAAAGGTTTTGTTTTTTTTTTTTCAACGAATTAAATTTAAAATAATTATAAAATCTTAAGTCAAAATGCCAACCATTTTTCCATAGTGATTCAATATAAAATGCAAAATACCAATTGCAAATCAAAAATAATTTAAAGTATTTTACAATAACAAGGCACTTATAAATTAAAAGTTTCAACTTATTTTATTTTTATTATTTTTCATTTGCAATAGGTATTTTAAAAATGCACTTCAGAGTAGATACCAACAAAAAAACATTTTTAATGTTGTTTGGACCGGTGTGGAACGTTGCCTAATACGTAGGTTAATATCCGATCAATGTTCTTGTATTGGCAATTTGTTTTTAAAAACTTGATTTAATATTTAAAACATTTTATTAGTCGTTTTGTTGTGTTCGTCGTTTTCAATGTTCATTGCCATTGTTTTGTGTCTTCCATTTTACCCATGCTATTCTGCCCCCGTATGTATAAATAATTCATGGCACTTTTCCTGATTGCACGTAAATGGCGTAAATTTCAAACGGAAGTACGCCAACGAGTTGCGCTAAGGGATGCAAGCAGGGGTGGAGGGGCTGATGCTGAGTTAGAGCTAGAGCTAGAGCTAGGAGTGGAGAGAGCAGCTACAATGTGTGGGTCGCAGTCAGTAGTTGACTTTTTGGCAGCTGTTTTAACTTTCCTACGTTTTCTAAATTCAATGAATAAACAAGTGTACGACTAATAAAGTGGTCAAGAATTACGTTTGTGGTAAAGAGCTAAGACAGTGGCCCAGCCAGGGGCAAGGCAAGGCAAAAGATAAGGGGGCAGTGTGGAAGAAGCGAGAAGATCAAATAAAGATTGGATGCAATTTAGATATTTGCCTTGCATATTGCTAAGCTGAGCCACTGACTGTGGTTGCTCAAATTAACAATTTATATATACTTTAGAAATATATTTGGCATATATATATAGTATGTAAGATATGTATTTTGTATTTGGTTTTTGTTTTGTGCAGACGTACCAAAGAGGGTAAATAGAGCATCAGGCGTGACCATCTACAGAGAAAAAGAGAAATAGAAGTTTGTTGTCAGTTAGCGAGAGTTTTGTTTGTAGATGTATGTAAAAATGATATAAATCATAAATAATAAACAGCAAAAAATTATACAAAACGTATAGCATGTATATAATTAATTAATCTGCATTTATTTTAATTTTACTTTAAGTAAATAAAATATAAAATTAAAAACTAGGATACGTGTGTACTCGCTTATCATAATTTACCACAGAAGATTGAATAAATTTGGAAAAAACTAAAATTTTAATGAAAATATATTAATATAAATTGTATGCGGCTTTTGTGAAAATATTCATAGACGAAATGCAAACTAATTAGAGGTCATGTACGAGTACTTTTGCAATTTGTGAGTAAATAGGAAGTATGGGGAGCATGTAGGCATATGTGGATATATACATATATTCAATTGTGGGCCGCTATTTAGTCATGGTTTTGTTGTATTTAAGAGATTTGAAAATTAAGCACTTACCTCCTCATTTAAATTCGAAACGAGTAAAACATTTGAGTAACCGCGCATGGCGGGCGCAGTTGTTTGCAGGGCGCCGCTGTTGGCCAGCGAGAAGGCGGCCAAATTGGGCAGGGCGTTGCTGTAGCCGCCGGTGAGTGGTGCGCCCAGGCCCAAGGCGAAAGGTGGCAGCACGCCGGGTGCTCCTAAGCCGTTGACTGAAAAATGTTCAGAGAGAGAGAGAGAGAGAGATAGTAATAAGAGTAATAAGGTTGCTGTTGCACAGTTGCATGCGGCTTAAATATTAGACGAATCGATAGCAAGTGTCAAAGGCAAAAAGTCTAAAATCAAAGCGTTCTATGTGTGTATGGATGTGTGTGTGTGTGTGTGCGTGTGTACGTGCGTGCGTGTGTGTGAGCAGGCGTTACTAGCACAGAAAATAAAATGATAATAGAGGGAAATTGTTCTGTTTGTGTTACCTATTTTATCACCTGTTAGTGAGGGCCGCTGGCGGGCAGCAATCAACAGCAGATCATTTGTATTCATGAGGCCGCCGGCAGTGGGCATGAGATCGACGCCCGGCTCGCCCGGTGGCAGCGCCGGATTCGTAAAGTCACGTGACTTATCATTATTGTACTTGACATTCAAGGCGGTCAATTTGCTGTTGTCAATGCGCAAAGTGCAGCAACCGTTGTAGATATTCTGGCCATCCAATATAGACTTGGCCTGCTGTGCAGAGTGGGCATCCGGATACTGGATGAGCGCCTGTTAAAGAAGAGAAAGACGTACATTAAATATTATGCATTGATTTAAAAGGTATTGTGCTTTACCCACCTGGAATGAATTGTTCTTGGTGAAGGTAACTATCTTTAGCACCTTGCCAAAGCGTTGGAATATCTGATGCAATATGTCCAACGAAACTGGATACATCAGAGTCTCGACAATTACGCGCAGCACGGTATTGGGTCCACCGGCTGCATTGGTATTGTTGCCGGCCGCCGAGGCGTTTACAGCGCTCGTGTTGTTTTGTAAGATGGCCACAGTGCTGCAGTTGCTGTCGCCCGAGCTGTTTGCATTGTTACTGGTCACATTGGCCACGGCGCATAGCGGCAAGGGTGATCCACCGGCAGGCGATTGAATGCGATAGTCGCTCTGCACCGCCGACGAGTTCTGCTGAAACAAGTGAAGGGAAGGTTGAGAGAATTGTTAAGTCAATTGCTGGAAAAAATCGTGTCTGCCAAAGTTTTATTAGTTAAACGCTGCACATGGCAAAACTTTGTGCATTAATCAAAAAAACTTGCCATGCAACAGCAAAATTTATGCATGCCGTTCAGTGTAACAGGCAACTTGGCGAAAATATGCTAAATATTTACAGCAGCAGTAGCAGCAACAACAACAGGTAGAGTGTATGTAGTGGCAACAGGAAGAAGCAGTCGGGCCCAGCAACATAAATCTCAATCAAAATCAATAATATCAAGTACCGTAATAATAAAAGGAAATCAAACTGCGGAGTGAGAATGGCAGGATGCTAAGGACGTAAAGAAGGCAGAACGTCTTGCCGTAAAAACCCTGTCAGCCCCATGCTGAGCGGCAAAACTTCTTGCGTGAAATATACACGTTCTATCGGAAAACAATTTAATGACATTCGGAAGTAAATTTATTCCTATTCGTGCTGAATTTTGATTTCGAAAATCATAACGTAAACACATTCGAGCGTCCTTAGCAGTCAGCCACCCAACATACCGCGCCACTGCCCCCCAGAGCCTTAACGCGTTTTTTGTGCGTTTGTCAGCAACAGCCGCAGCAGCCGGAAAAAAGTTCTAGGCATACGTGAAGCAACAATTCCCCCCAGGCGTGCCATTTGTTTTTGCTACCTCTTGCTAGATAAATTCTCGTAGACGAAACAAAGCCAAAGGCAGGCAACTCAGCCTGAGACGCTGCCTTGGGCGCTGACTTCTGCCTAGGTTTACAAAAATAATAAAAATTGATTAGAATTGCGCTGTGTGAGGTCTTTGCCACAGCCAGGCAGCCCACACACACGGCGTATGTGTAATGTGAGGGGTGGAGAAACAAGAGTCGAAGATTCTGCGGCTGCTACAATTGCCATTCAGTTCGGCTCGTAGTCCATGACTGTAATTTGATACTTCACTTTGCCTGATTATTATTACGATGAGACGATGACGATGACGTTGATTGTGTAAAAATTGTAATGTAATTGTAGAGCAAACATTTGTCGTTCTCCCTCTATCTCTCTTACTCGCTGCTATTGTGTATGCGAGTGTGTGAATGTGTGTGTCTGTGTGTGAGTGACAGTGCGCAGTTAAACTTTGTACATGTTAACTGAATGTCAAGTGGGCAATTGCAAATTGACTGCATTGATAATTGCGTCCAAACATTGTACTACAATTACGGCTATTTAATAATGTGCCAAGCCACTTGCCATATGACTCTGAGCTACTCTACTACTCCAGTATTCTGATAACTGGGGCTACCAACTACATCATTACACATTTTGTGTGTGCGTACATGTGTGTAACTGCTTGTATATGTGTGACTTTTGGCTTTCCCTTGTCGCGGTTTAGTCGCTTAATGAGTCAATTGTGCATTGTCTATTATTATTTCTGTTCTTGTTGTTGCGGCTGTGGCTGTGGGCGGCTTGTGCCATTGATTGGTTTGCATACACACACACAAACTCACCCACATGCAGGCCATCACCCCTATATACACTCTCTCTCTGATTGGGGGCATACTCAGCACTTTGTTATAATTTAATATGATAAGTCTGATAAACTACTAAACTGCTTTGATAAGCAAAAATATCAATTCTGCTGATAAGCTCAATTATCGATCCAATGAATAGATAAATAAAAATAGTTGTGCAAAGAGCACATGTATGTGTGGGTGTGAATGTGTCCTAAGCGCAAATCAAATGTTTAAATTTGACATTTCCCGCTGGACCTGTGTCATCTTCAATATTAGCCGGACAAAATGTAATGCAAAGTCGAGGCGTTTGTCAGTTCCCCTGAGAATCAACGCACGAATTGTGATAAAAAAAAGTAAGCTACAAAAAAAGCTGCTAAAAGCTTTTAAGAAAACTTTTGCAATATTTACGCAAAAAAGTGACACGGTAAAGGGACTGTCTGCCAGTCCTTTGCTCTGTTAGCCCTGGGTGGACATACTACCTGGGCCAGCCGTCGTCTTCTGGTTTTTGCATAAGAAATAAGTCAATGGCAAACAAAAAACTAAAGCAAAAAACTAAAAGTAAAAAATATTTATGTATATATTTTGGCGCTACTTTCACTTAGCGCTTTCCATAAATATTATTGTTTCAGAGATGCGTGCGCCTATTTTCGTTGCAATGTCACACTGGCAACTACTGCCTGCTCTAAGCACCACCATCTTGACTTTTTGGGCACACTTAAGATGTGCAGTGCCCGGCAACATTCACTTCAGAAACTGGTCACGCCGTGGCAAAGTGGCTCAAGCCAGAGCAAGTTGCTGGCTTAAGTGGCGAGCCAAGTGAGTGAGAATACCAGGCGGCTGGCAGGGAGCTTCTTGCCACTCCTTCTGCGCCCGCATGCGTGCATCAAGGATGTAGAAGTGGGTGGTGAGTTGCCACTTTTGTGCGGTTGCCAACTTGGCTGCTCTTATACTTTTTATTTGGCAAAAGGGGATGGTTGGGCCTGCACAAGTTATGAACTAGTGCAGTTAAGTTTTAAAGCTAAGCTGCGCATTATGTGTTACTACATACTTTGGCGTGGCTGTTGCCAGTGCCCCTCATCTCCTTGATCTACTCGTATACTTTTTGCGGCCACTGGCCTGAGCTGAGCTTTGAGTCTTCACTTGCCCACAAAAAAACCCTGGTTAGCTGAGTGCAGCTAAAGACGTAACCACAGCATACTCTGTGTACGTCTTATTTATGGCCAACACAAATATGGGCTACAGCCCAAATGCGTTGAAAGCGCTTACCAAAAACTTTGCATAAACAAATATGCCAAAAGAGAACCACAGCAAATCCTACGTTATCCCTAGCCTAAAACTAAGCAAACACAAAAACACGAAGAGGAAAACATTACGCAGCCAAACGCAAATAAAACGTAGCATACTTTTAGGCAGTAATAACATCGCCAGTGAGAAGAGAACTAATCAATTCAATGAAAATATTGTTGCTGAAAAGTCAGTGCAAACACGACACATGTAAAATAAGTTGTCAGTTGTTATTGTTGATATTTCTACTGCTGCCGTCTTGTTGCTCCTTTTATCCTTGCCGCTCGCAAATTTGCTCACGTACTTCTGACGAGTGTGTGAAACAATGTAATTTAAATCCATTTTCAGCACGCCAGAGCGTCACCAATCAAATTGGCAAACGACTGGAGTGTAAGCAAACACTGTACGGGATATCGGGAGGGTACATGCCGCAGCGGATGGCATCCTGCCACATAACTCAAAGGATCAACAAGCTATTGTAGAAGCTGCGCGTTCGCGTTCTTGTGAAAACAATAAGATTAGCTCACTTTTGCTTTCGACAGACGATGCTGGCGAAAGTAAACGTGAAATAAAATGAGAAAACAACAACACACGACAACAGGCAGCGGCAAAGAAAAACAAAAGCAACTCATAGAAAATAAACAACGTGGAGATAGAGCCGCTTAACCACTCACCCAAACGCTCACGCACACATACATTCGGATATACAAATATATGCACATGTGTGAAGTTATTACCACAGCGAAAGCCTTTAACTGCACACGCCTCAGTATTGAGAGTAGAACAAATAGCCTGCCAGAGTAAAATACCTCATATGAATGCGTGAAGTAAGCCCCAGCTCCTGGCCCAGGACTCGCACACACCTCTAAATATAGGAAGCTTCTAGCTGTCGTCAGGCATCGAGCGGCTGTCAGGCCGCAGAACAAATTAAATAAATAGTGAGGCCTCTGAGCTTGGCTCATATTATTAACGACAAATCGATTGGGCAGACTCTAACTTACATTTCTTCGACTTTTTCCTAGTGCGCTATTGCCAGTGTTGCCGAGTTTCGAAGCAACTGCAACATGTTTCGCATTTGCTAAAGCCTTTGCTAATCAGTTTGATCCTTTTTGTGGCTTAATCGCTTGACATTTGTATTAGTTGCCGCCGCCTTAACACCCATGCGGTGTTAACTGCGCTCTGGTCTTAACGCAGCCCCCACCACCCCAGGCTACAGAGGCAACACGTCAAATATTGTCCACATTAATCTCATTTTGTGTTTGGCACTAATGCTGACGTGATTTTCTCTCTCTGATATTTATTCTATTAATTGACATTGTGCACTTTCCTGGTACAAATTTGTTGTCACCTTTAAGAAGAAAATATTTCTGCGCCAAATTAACGGGGACTGCTATAAATAATCTGCCTTACGGACAGGCGGACAGACAGACAGACGGACATGGCTAGATCGACTCGGCTATTGATGCTGATCAAGAATATATATACTTTATGGGGTCGATGCTTCCTTCTACCTGTTACATACATTCGGATTTTGCACAAATACAATATAACCTTATACCCATTTTTAATGGGTTCAGGGTATAAAAATCCCCACAAGTTACAAGCACTTTGTTAGTTGCAAAAGGCCAATATATGACATTCACCGTAGGGTATGTCCAAGCCAACTGAGCAAACAGGGCTTTATTTCTGTGCTGTGGCCGGCAATTTAATTTAATCACAAGGTAACCTTATCACAAGAGGGAAAACCAACACCTGCTGCAATGGCCACCATGGAGCGGCGCACACACAAACACTCATACACATTTGCAGTTATATCTGATAGGCGTTACTGCCTGTAATCAGTGCGTCGTATAGCGCGAGCCACAGATTGCGAGTGGCGACAACTGTGCCGCAAGCTCTTCGATTGAAATGTCACTGTCGCGTATGTCCTGCGTCCTGTGTGCCCTGTTTGCTGTTTGCTGTTTGTCGGGGTTGTTGTTTGCAACCACACAAGTGCCAATTATGAAGATTACTAAAATTAAAGGCAACCGTTTGGCGCACCTTTTGCAGATTGCTTCAAGGCTTTCAATTTGTTGGCCGTGTAGATATGTGTATGTGTGTTTAAGTCTGTGGCCACCATTTGTTTTAAATTTAATGAATGCATTGCCGCCTTTTAGGCGCAAGTGCAAATGTTACACAAGAGACATTCGCTCACTCATCGTGTCCGTGGGATTTTGTTTTGAAATTAAATTTCAATCAATTTCGTTTTGTTTGCGGCGCAGTTCCAACCTCGGTCCCGGACCCGGTCCCAAGTGGATGTCAACCCTTTTTCGCTTGTTGGGGATCGGCTAAAAAAATTAATTTATCAAAATTACAAACACACACACACACACACAAATACATAGGCAGAGACAGATGCGCAGCTACAGCCAAAGACAAAACAATCACATGTCAAATTTGAGCCGAGCCACTAAGCAATATAAGAGGCGATGGGCGTGGTTGAGGCGGGGGGCATTACGAGACAGGGGGCCGCTTGGGGGCTTTGGTATTCTGTGGATTTGTGGCTAGCTTGTGTTGTAGTTGTAACCGCGTGAACTTCCAGTGCATTTATCTTCATTTCTAAGCAGCAGTCGCAGGAAAAGCATCCTAGCCAAGGGTGTCCTGACCCAGTCCTAGCCCCATTCCCAGTGCCCTGGCCGCTGAAGCGAGTGACGTGCGTGGCATGGGGAAGGTGCTTCTAAGATGCTCGTGCGCAAGAAGAAGACATCAACGTAAATAGCAACGAAAATAGTCACAACAACTGTTGCCTGAAGTGCCTGCGAGTGGAAATAGTATCAGCAGCTGAGTAGGGCAGGGCAACGCAGGGGAGCCGAGCGGCATAGGTGAAAGGACGTCCCAACCGACATGACATATTAGAATCCTGTTACACAGCTCTGCGATGCGAGCACAACACGGCACAGCATAGCACAGCCACGCTGCCTGACTGCCAAATTGCCAACATAAATGTCAGTGGCGCGCAGGGCTACGGGGTTTTTCATTTCTGATGCTGCCAACTTGGTTTTCGTACGCTCGTTTCCCTTACTTTTGTTTTATTTCTATTTCTTTTACTTTTTTTTGCTGATTCTCTATGCGACGCAATCACTCAGGCGTTGAAATCTGCAAATGTATGTAAGCGTGTGTGTGTGTGTGTGTGTGTGTGTGTGAGCAGATGATTTGAAAATCCTGTATTGCTGATTTGCTACTGCTGCTGTTGCTGCTGCTGCTGCTGTTGTTGTCGCAGCTTTGCTTTCAGGTGGGTGTGGGGTTAAATCCCTTAAGGCGTGCAATGGATTTGAGTTCCCGCTTGCACGTTGCTTGCCTGGCCCAAAGGCTTTAATAGAATTTTTTAAAGCATATCTATTTGAGGATTCACATGGCCAATTGCTCTGATGAGAAACTGTTGCCTACACTACAGATGCCTTATGCAGACCTAATCCAAAACGAACTGTCTGTTCTTTGTGCATAAAAAGATCAATTTGGAATTCACGAACTGCATTTGGCCGAGTAGCTAATAAAACAAATACATAAACTCGAAAATGTTGGGTTGGGGACAGCACTTGACTAATATTTCAGCCACGCGGACAGCTGTTGCTGCTGGCTTCCTCAGGTTATTTTTTTATTCCAGCTATGACTACAGCACTACGCTGAGCATCTTATCTGCAACTGTGCACGTTGCTGCGTTTAACAAAAAAAAAGATGAAAGTAAAACTTGAGACTGACAGCGAAGACGTTGAGCAATCAGCGCAATGGTAGCGCCAGGTGGAGACGAAGTCGGCGCAATACAAAAGCCAATGAAGACACTTGTTAAAATGCGAGGCCAAACAGCAGTTGCACAACAAGACAAAACAAAAACACACACACAGGCAAACATATATTTCGAGTTGTGTTGACAATGGGCAGCAGGGTGCACACACATACACACACCCAAAAAAAAGGAAACAAAAAAAAAAAGAAAATTGAATGAAATGAGAAATTGTATAAATATGTTGGCCAAGCAGCAGGAATAACAAAAGCGGTAACAGCAACAACAACACCAATGACAGTCAAGAAGAGCTTTACACACAAGATTAAACTCACACACATATATGCGCACACAACACATACTCATGCGTTTTAAGAGATTTTCCACTAGAGCAACAGCAACGACAGCGGCGTTGACTTTTCCACTCGTCTGCGTTGTCTGCGTCCTCATTGGGACTGGGAGCAGTGGCAGCAACAAGGCCTTTTACCAGGATTAGTAGTTAACAAGAGAAATCTGGCCACACCCACGCACACACGCTGGCACAGCCAAAAGGTAATCAGTAAAATGTAACTGTATTGTTTGGCCATGACGTTAGCGCTGCTGCTGCTGTTGCTGTTGTTGCTCCTTCTGTTGTTGTTGTTGTTGTTGATGTCACCTTATTCATAGGCACGCCTACTGGTATTGTTGTTGTTGCTCAGTTGCTGCAGCCTCTTAACCTTTTTTGTTGATGCTGTAGCTGTTGTTGCAGCACATGACTGACGATCTCTTTTTAAGTAGTTTTGCTTGGGGTCATTTTGGGCTACAATGTGAGCTATGTAAGCCGAGAGGCAGGTGGAGCACATAAGCACACACACACATAAACGCGCAAAAGGTGACAACGTTGTTTTGGGGTTTTTCGGCAGGCAACAACAACAATGTTGCGCACTTTGTTGCTGCTGTTGCTGTTGTTGTTGTTGTTGTTGTTGCTGCTGCTGCTGCTGCTTTCATTTAAGTAATCAAAATATGCTTTTGACTTTGTGCTTAGCAGCTGCCGTACGTTTGTCTGTTCATATCTCGGAATGTCTATGTGTGGCTAGAGCCTTGTGGTTTTCATTTGTGTATGGTCGGTTAGTGTATGTATGAGTGTGTATATGTTTTGGCCACAAAACCCCAAAAACTATGCATTTCACTGCTTTTGTCAGGCATGTGTGCCAGCTATATACACACATATTTATATATGCATACCTACATTTATCTGTAACTGTATATTCGTATTTGTTTGTATTTGTGTGCGGGTTTGTGTATTTATTTGAAAGCTTTTTAAACTTTGGCAGTGACTTTGTGGCTTACGAAATTAAAATTAGAAATTGGTTTGGACCGTCTCTGACAAATATCCCTTAGCATTTATGAATGGCCAACATGTGTGTGAGTGTGTGTGTGGGCCGTCTTGGGGGATTAAGTTGCCTCAGAGATTGTAATTAATCAGTGAGCGACCCACATAATAACGAGACAGTAGCAACAACATTTGCATATAAATCGTTGTTTGCCTCTGACCGAAACTTAATTGCCACATTAATAACACTTAAGGCCAACTGATTTAGTTGCTTATAAGTTCTGGCTTAAAGAGTTTTGTTTTAGTTATCGTTTTGCATACACTTACATTATGACTCTGGTCCGTCTTGAGCTCGCGATGATTGGAGAACTGCACGTAGACCATGCGACCGCGCATCTGTGGCGGGTTCACTGTATAACAGGATACCATCGATGTGGCGGATATCTCGTCGGCCATTTCAATAAATGCTTGATTTTTGCCCTTCAGCACCAGGACATTTGTCACACGTCCGAATGGTATGCCTAGTGCAACTACGTCCGATTCACCAGATTCGTTAGGAATGTTGCGCAAATGAATGACTTTCGAGGCTTTGGCTGCAAAGAGAGAATGTACGAGAATGCGTAAGTAAAATTTATAGAGAGAAAGAGAGAGATATATGATATATATAGTGAGTAGCTGTGTGGCTGAGTGTTTGGGTCAACTAATTAATAAGCCGCTTAAAATATTAACAGCTGCCATGCCAAACGGCACCGTTCGCTGACTGTACTTCCGCTTCCATGCGTCGCTTAATTTCGACGTTCTTATTGTTGTTTTTTCATGCATTTTGTTCTCTCTCACTGTGAACAAGCCAAATAAAAGGCCCGATAACATGGCGAACGTTGTGGCATTTGTATACATGGACGGCGTTGCATGGACACTAAAGGGGCAAGGGACTAGCAGGTGCAAGGGAAGCGGCAACAGCCTGGCGCATAAATTCATTCATTGCACTCTCTGACTGTGAATAATCCACACAGCGACAATGTCCGGTCTGGTCCAGCCAGGTTCAAGCCCAACACACAAATACAAATACACACACACACGCCAATAGACAACGATTGTCTTTGCTGTAGTTGTTCGTTTGCCAGCTTGGTGTTTGTTTGTTATTTTTGCATAAATAAAGTGGTTCCACCGTTGAGCTGCATTGCAACAGGGGTGCACAAATGGGATTTTAGGCTGTTGTTGTTGGCCGGCAGAGAGCATTTTAGGGATTTCGCTGCGACCCCATTGCACATCTGTCTAAAGTGCCTTACATTTTTATAAACAAAAGCAAACAAATTTGCTGGCATGCCACATGCTTTATAAAAAAAAAAGTATATATGTATTGCTGCTCTTGCTGCAGGCCGCAACAACTGACACCGCGAGTGCTGGGCAGTGGAGGTGGCGCCGACTGCAGCTTGTCTAGCTGGTGCTTAGTCAACACCTGTTAATGTGCTGGGTTTTTCTTTTATGTGTATGTGTATGTGAGTGAGCATGTTTGTGAGCGTGCCACCTCATATGCAAATGAAATGTTGCAAACACATTGGTGCACAGTTTTTGGTTTGGTTTTTGTATTTGTGTGTTTTTTCATAGCTGTCGTCCTGTGTGTGTTTGCAGTATTTACCGCACTTGCTAAACAAGCAAACAGAATATGTGCAAGAGATAGCTCGCGACAAGCCAATGGTAAAAATGGCAGTTGCCACAGAAATTTGCACTTTGTCCAGCCGACTGCTGCCAGCATTTGAACTTTGCTGCATTTAAGTTTGAAATGGATTTTAAAGAGTGCGTTTTAACATCCATGAACTGTATGGATGAGCCCAAGAAGAAGTATGGAAAAACAAGTAAGCCCTTTCGAAACCCCTTAGCTCAAGAAATTTGATAATGCTGTGTACGAGTGTTTAAAGAAGCAACACAGCTCGATGGAAACGCCTAAAGATATACGAGAGGTCCGTCCAGCATATACATTTCAGTTTTGTTCAGATGACTTTAGCGGAGCTCAGAAGTTGCAGTGAACTCGGTACCCAAGACGACTGATTAGCTTCCCAGATAAGTACTGCCGGATTAGTATTCTTATTTATCTGTTCACCTTTTAATCTGTGCGAGACTGCTTATCGTGAATTATGTCTAGATCAAAACGCATTAATTAAATAAGGGCCATCTTACATTACAAGTGTTTATATCTTACATTTACTAAGCCTTTCTGTAAGCTATCACTTTGTTCACTATGTTCACTCAGCTCTTCCCTTCAATTCCTCATACATAATGTCCAAAAGTTATCACTTTGCCGTATTTATCAGCAGCGCGTACCAACTAACTGTTAGCTGCTTTCAGTAGGTCCTTACTAATAATAGCTTACAACATAAAAGGGTCATTACCCGACCCAGTCTCGATATGCTTGTCGCCCCGTTTCCGCTGCCGCCCCAGTTCTTGTTGCTGTTCAACTAGACGCAAACTTTAACTTGCCGCCAACCTGCATGGGTCAATGTGCCAATTTATAACAATGCGCTACAAAAAAAGAGGAGAAATAAATGAAAAATAGGCACAGAACCCCAATCCATCCATCGTTGGGCCAACTGGCTGGCCATTCAGGCCAACTTGAAGCAAAAGTCATACCAACTATGAGAGGGGGCTCGGCTCGACTCGGACTCTCAACTGCAGTTTGGCCAGTGTGGCGCAGCATTTGATGGTGAATACAACTAATCGGAAATTACACTTTTTGATTAGTTCAGAACGGAAATGAAGTTGAAACGAAATTATGCAGGGCAGAAGCAACCAAAGTGCACGGCATTTTAGCCGCTCTCAACCTTTTGGCAGCTCACAAATTTATTAAAAATCGATGGCCAAGTGCCGACCGCGCGATGCTGCCCATAAATAAAGAGCTTCAACTAACTCGACTTAAATATACCTGCACCAAGTGGAAAAAACTCAAGAAAAATATATTCTTAATTTTTGGAATTATTTACATTTGCTTATCGGAATGTTGGTTTTAAAAGAAAACTATATATTTTTTTTTAGAGATTGATACACGCAATCTCTGCAGTTGCTTATACTATACCATATGTGCTCTTATACCAACTATATCTCAGTTGAATGAGAGCATTAGCAAAACTAAATAAAAGCGTATAGAACGGAAACGTGCTGCACGAGACAAACAACAAATCAAGTGCCGCTGGGCAGTTGCCGGAAAAAACGTCGCTACAGAAAATATGTAAAACTATCTATCATGCATGACGACGTTGTCAACGAGCAGCAAAATAAAATCGAAAAAATCGAAAAAAAAGAAAAACTGAAAAAATGAAATCTACTGAAAACGCGCGAAACGTAAATTTGTGGATTTTTTGACGTTCGCCATCAACAACTCAATTTGGGTTTGTTTTTCACTAGCAGTTGAAACTGCGACGTTGTTGCTGTTGTTGTTCGTGTTGCTGTTGCTGTCGCTTTGCTCCGCAACGAGGGAAGAGAATTTGTAACAAATCGCAACAAACGCTGCCTGATGGTGTGAAAGCGAGAAACTACGTCAGTGCAATGAGCAAATCGACTACCATCGACATTCACTCAACGGCGAGCGTTGCCGCCGGGCTTCCCTCCCATCTCATCCATCTCCTCCCAGCCAATCACCTGACCTGAGCATAAAGGCAGCGGAGGGCATAATTGAAAAGGAAGATGGCGACGAGTCGACGACGGCCGGAAACACAGCCAACAAGGCCCTGAAGCAGACAGCTGCAGCCGAAAACGAGCAACTGAATTGAAAAAAATGTTTGGTATTTTCAGTCAGGCTCAATGCGACTGGTGCCTCATGTCCTGCGGCTCAATTCTGTTGAAGTGAGTGAGTCTCTGTTGCATTTTTTGACTACTTTAAGGAGTTTACCGCTTGCCAAGAATATACGTATAACTTGTTGGTATGTATGTTTAAATAGGTTATAATTCTTTTTTGGGATCTGGTACGCTGGTATTTGTTGCGTATAAGCCTTGCAATATCTTTAGAAGGTGGCTAAATAAATTATTCACTTTCAAGACAAAAACCGTTTAACCTGAGGGGCGTGCTGTTAAAATAATCATGCACCCATACACACGTTAAATGCCAAGCACAGCGAAAAATAAAGAGTGTGCGTGTAATAAAATTTGCATTCGATAATGATGCTTGTTGCGTGTTGGCGCATGGATGTATAAATAACAATCATACGCACTGCTGCATCGCATTAAAATGAGCTGCAATGGAAGGCGCGACTAAAGCTCAACTGTATTAATGACACGCACAGTATCCTTATGGGGCGGCAGCAGGGCACCTTTCAATTAAGCCCATACACACATGCAGCGTCATGCCGGGCCACGCCTCGGCCATCGATGAATTGCATGAAAATATATATGTACATATAAACTATTTATGGCTAATTGAAAAGTTTACAAACTGTAATTGAGTTGGCCCCGGTGTGGGCATGGAAATAATGGATGGTCAGCTGTTTCATGTTCCATGTCCATATGCTGTTTGTAGTTGTTGCTTTTGCAATCGAACAATGCGGCGTATGTGTAATAATTTGAGAGCAGTGCATACGGTTTTTTTTTCTTTGCTTTAACGGTCCCAACATGCACCAAGTTAATTAATGACAATTTAAATTCATAAAGCAAACAAAAACCCCAAACGAAAAATGTAAATGAAAATGAATGGAAACGCGCGTCGAGCGTCGACAGTTGAAACAAAGCCACGAAAAAACACGATAAATGGTCAGCTCCACAAACATAGCCCGCCGCACAACCCAAAAGAAGCTGGCCCACTCTCTTTACACCCAGGTAAAAGTGTGGGGAGGGTTTGAAAAATATGCTGATTGTTAATAACAATTAAATTTGTGCTTACGTCGCGGCATTTAATGATTTAATGTAAGCGTGATGCCAGTGTTTGTACGTCTGTGTGATTATTACCAATATTTGAATATTCACACATGCAAACACGCTTTAGCTTTAATTATGCGACAGTAAATTAGGTTTTTACAAGCTCACACATCATAAATTTTAAATTGTTGGCCAACAACTTGCTGTGTGTGTGTCTTGTGCGTGCATGCGTAATGACTTAATGATATTTACTTTGCCAGCGCCTTGTCTTTAATTTAAACATCTGTCTGCGCATAATCAATCATAGCACAAGTTTTTACCAGCAACTGAAAGCCAACGCCAGCAGCGATGTTTGAGTTCCCGCCTTCTTAATTTAGCCAAGTACATTTCTGTTTTCAGGCCAGCCATAATTGAAAATAACGATTTTTTATGCTGCTGCTGCCTCTGTTACAGTCAAGGCACGAGCCTAACACCCGCAAGTAATGTAATTCATTAAAAATTTGTTAGCACATAGACACAAGGCTAAAGGGGCGGGTGTAAAAAGAGAGACACTGTATGCGAGAAGTCAACGCACGCAAAGGCTGAGGACGTTTATAAATTTTAATTGCATTTCAATTACGGGAATAGTTTTCATTTTCTTTTTTAGTGCTGCCAGACTGCGTTGCAGAAGTAGAATGCAGTCTGGTAAAAGCAGACGCAGATTCTATGTTCTGTGCGCAGTCAAGTGGCGCAAACGGGTGGGAGTCCAACTACATGGGATGTAGTTCTATGAAGTATATCAATTGCATAAATTACAAGTGCATAGAGTCGAGGAGCAGCGGCAAGTGCTCGGCAATGCTTTTTCCACTTCATTTGCAGTTTGTAATCATGAACTACGGTTTAAAGTCGTTGCAGTTGCAGTAGCAGCTGCTGCGCTGTTAAGTATGCTGTGAATTGTAGGGCTAAGCATGCAGCGGGTCGTATGTTTAATTAAGTAACATATATGTGAATACACATGTGGCATGCGGCTTGTGGCAGCCGCAAGTCAAAAGTCAACCCATATAAATAATGACAATAAATGCTCGTTCAACTAGCCGGCACGAACAGTGCCCGTCATAAATGATCGCACTGGACCACAGCCCATAACCAATTGACATCAACGGACTGTATGTTTGCCTTTCAGCTGTTGTTGTTGCCGCTGACCAAGTGCAAATTCTGATTTTTATTCTGGTTTCCAGTGCTCTCTCAATATTTACACAGACGTTGACGGCGCCGCTTACAAATAAATATGACAATATTATTTTATTGACTGTGAAAATATTTACACGCAACAGACGTGCGAGAGTGCTGCGATATCCGAGACACAAGGCGGCACGCGCCATCAGACAGGAGACTCGCACACACACACACACACATACGCACACACAAAACACACATGCAGGACAATGAGGACGCATTGGACGCTGCATGCACAGCACGCAGTTTGCAGTGCAAAAACATTTCAAGCTTTGCCCTTTTGGTTATGGCTATAAAAATGTTCGAGTACTTGACTTGACTCCGATGCGTGTGCTTGTCTGGCTAAGTGAATTGAGTTTATAAAATGATGTCAGCTTAACATTAAGGCTTTTACTTGGCCAGTGAACAAGCTAGGATAAATTTTTTGCAAAAATGTTTGCTTATCTGTGATTATATTTATATATAAAATATTTATATTTACTTTTTTATTTATATTAAAATATGTTAAATATCATATTCTAAAATTGTGATAATCTACATATGATTTCAATTAAGATTTCAATTTAATTGTTTCGGTTTCCCAATGAGTGGAACAGATTTTTGTTTTTATAAACCTTATATTTTTGTACAGCTCAGACTAATGCCACAATTCTGCTCTAAGCCTATAAATGTAGTATACCTGCACCATGTACCTATGCATGTCTATAGCCGATTGGTTTCATTTTCTGTACATTTATTTTGAACATTGCGTTTTAACACCTTGAACTCTAATGCCTGTTGACCAATAGTCGCCCCAAATCGGTCAATAAACAAACAAATATTGGCGGTGCTGGACAAACATGGCTTGGTTACATGCATATATATATACTCGTTCGTATATGTGTATTTGTGTGTCATATGTGTGTGTGCGAGTGCTGTAACAATAAACAACAACGACCACAACAACAAAAACAACATCAATGGCTACACATGCTGCTGTCGCAAACCAGACACGCGACATTGCCACGGCTTAGCTCGAGTCGGCTTGTTTTAGTTGGTTTTGGGTTTTTGTTTAGGTCGGGTTGCGTTTTTAGCTTGGTTTGAATTAGCCGGCATCGGATCTCAAGCTCAACTCCCCGGGGTCTAATTTGGCTTGCATAAAATATGCATAATAATCAAAATAAAATAAATCAAATGCTACTAAGCAAATGCGAGTATTTATTACATGTACAAACGGAACTTCAGGCATAAGAAAAAAGTAAATATATCAAATATATATACATACACATATATATATATACATAAATATACATGTATATAGAGTACTGTGTGCGCTTTGCATTGTAAGATGAGCCGAACGGAGCGTGGCCACTTACTTGAAGTGTGCTTCACGCACACACACACACAAACACACCACTCTCTCGAAGTGGTTGGGCGTGTTGGGGCATTGGGCCAAAAGTGTTTTTATTACATTTACGTGCAAAATTTGTTGCATGTTCGATGGCTAAGCTCGTGTAACGGAAACGTTGCTCATTGTATTGGTTTAGTATAGAATACAAATACAATTGACAACAGGCAGTGGCCAATGGACGTTGAATGAATACACTACCTAGCGTTAGGGCGTGCCAAACCACCAAAAAAAGAGGAAGAAAAAAAACAATTTTTGGCAGTTGCTGTGTGTGTGTGTGTGTTTGTCTAAGGCTGGCCACACAATGCTTTTTGTTGCTTTTGTGGATGCTGCCTATTTACTTGTCTGGCAATTGTTGTTGTGTTTTTGTTGTTATTTTTGTTGGCTCAGTACTGCAATGCAATAAAAGTGTCCTTACACATTTATTTAGCAATTTCTTTTGTTATTATTTTCGGCATCAGCAACGTATTTTTGCCTTTGTGCGTCAGCTTTAAGTGGTTTCCATGCAAGTTACCACACACACACACACACACACACACACACACACACACACACAGATATACGGACCACGCACAACAAATACAAATGAATTTATTGGATTTTCAGTGGCACTTCTTATTCTCGCCTGCTGCTTTTGTTCCTCTCTGTCTGTTCAACCTTAAGCTGCTCATGACTTTAAAAATTTTGCCATGCTTTGTGTTTGCGCATGAACTTTGCGTGGAAAATTAAAAAGGCCGCAGGTGGCATGTGGCGTGCGGCAGGTGTCAAGTCGAGGTGGATTCCCAAGCAGCCGTCCACGGTGTCTACCAGCCAGGCTGCCAGCCATTCTACCCGCCCGATCATCCTGCCCGCCTGCTTGCGTTTGTATGCATGAGTTGGCACTCAAATGCCGCTGGGTCGTCTGCGTCTGGACCGGCCATTCAAACAATGAACGCCTGCAACTCTTTGCCAGTTACCGAACTGGCCAACAGTGCGTATGTATCAATGTGTGTGTGGATGTGCGTGTGTGTGTGTGTGTGTGTGTATAGAGGGGATAGAGCTTGTTGCTTTTTAATTAATAGAAAAGTCCTTTGTAGAGTAATAAATAAATATTATGCTTTTGCTTTTGCGTTTATTTTCGTTGCGTTCTCGATTGCCACTCACTACGTACGAGTGTTGTGTGTGAGTGTGTGCGAGGGTGTGTTTGAGGTCCTTTGACTATCTACTGTCTGACTGGAGGGCGGAGAGCACAACCCGTTAAAAAGCTTACATTTTTTTCTATTCAACCATATGCTGCCATTGATTCACATTGTGACGCAGCAGTTAACTGACGCGCTTTTAAGGACTGCTAATTGGAAAAACCAAAAGCGTATTCATTTTCAGTTCAATTCTAATGAAATCTATAGAAACCAAAAGGTGCTTTCATTTTGATAGCCATTTGTGAATGCCTTGTGGTTCGACCTTTGTGATTACATTGGCATTTATAGCTGTGCATGTGTGTGTGTGTGTGTCTGTGTGTGAATGAAAAATGTGTACGCATGGATTTGTTGATATTTAAAATCATTTTGTGGCTGACTGATTTTTGGTTTCGACTTTCGGTTTTAACAGCGACTGTGACGGGCGCTTGTCAAATATTTGCCTAATGTGTGGTTCAGGTTCTGGTTTTTTGTTTCTGGCGCGAGCGGTTTTTGATTAGCTTTATTACTTTGCGCCAGCTAACACGCACACGCTTTGTATTTGATGGTGGTGTTGGTGGTGTTTGAGTTTGTGTGCGTAGGGCTAATTAATGTGCTGGAATTGCCTAGCTGGTCTGCTTAGAACGCCAACGTGGCGGCCATACTACACTTTTTCATATTTTGCGACCAACAACAAAGGCCTCGTCGAAATGTTTGTTTCCATGCTAATTAGCGGGTTAATTGGCTATAAGACTAGTCGCGAATGCGTGCCCCATACTCGAGCGTCTGTCACAAGTAGCCAAGTGGTCGGCACTGGCTTAAGCAGGATTATGCCATTGGCATTGGCTAATGCACGCAGCGCGGGCTGCGGCGACGTCGGAGGCTAATTGGCAGCCCAACCTGGCCTAAACTATGGCTGCAAAGTGCACTTAAGTTGAGCGGCCCAGGCGTGCCATAAAATGGGTTTATATGGGCGCAACATAGACGGAGAGGCAGGTAAAGGCATAGGTAAGGGTATAGTTAAGCTAGAGGCACAGATAAGTTGCGAGGCAGACATTAAGAGATAGGAGAGCAAGAGAGTGAGAGAGAGACGGATAGGGGAGGCGACGAAGATGGAGAGAGCGTGCAGAGAAATATATAAAACTTACCAATTCCGCCGGCCAGCACGGTGCTCGAATCCAGTTTGGCCTTCTTTGTGGCCAGATCCTGATTATTATTGTCGGAAGCGGGCGCCATGACTGCTGCTTGACTCAAAAGTTCGTCGCTTCCGCGCTGCATGGCCCCACAGGCACAGGTTCACAGTAACGCACAAAAAGATACAGATGCATTCGCATTCGCATTGGAGACAGTTATTTGGTGCGGGCAACGGTTGGTTTTTTTTTGTAGTTGTTATGTTAATAGTTTTTGTGGTTGTAGTTGTAGTTGTAGTTGATGATGTAGAGGCACAGCACAGCAGAGAAGTTGAAGATGGTTTCAGTTTATTCAGTTGAGTTGAGTTGAGTTGAGTTGAGTTGAGTTTAATTGAATGGTAGGCAGGTAGGCAAGTTTGTAGTTGTGTGTGTGTAGTAGATGAAGTATATACGATTACGGTACATAAAAAGAGAAAAATAAAAGAGAAGAGAACAATATAAATATTTAATATTTACGCAAGTTAAGTAAATTACAGAGATTTAGCTCAGGTGAGCTGTTCTTGTTGTTATTGTTATTATTGTTTATATATTTTTTTGTAGCTGCATTGAGTGAAATTTAAGTGGTGCTTAAGCGAGCTTTGCATTTCTGTTTGGGTTAACTTGAGCTAACTAAGTCAACAGAAATGGGTGCGCGGTAAATTGCATAGATTATTATATGATACAGCATTAGACGAGGGCAGTTTAATGTGAAATTGGAAACTAGTTCTACTTATTGCTACATAATGCACTAAATTGTAAGTCGAGAGCCTAGATAGCATAAGAAAAAATGTATTTTCCGTGCATTTTCGAGCATTAATAGCATTATTTGAAGTGTATCTATTTTATTAGTTATCGGGTTGTTGTATATTATTTATTTCATTTTCTGTCATTTATATTTTGCTTTATTTATTGAAACGCTTTCTATGCAGGTGAATTTCTAAAAACCTTTTCAAATTGTTTAAGCGATGAAATAAAAAAGAATGTATAAATAAAATTAGATAAAAATTCAATAAATCAATATCTATTGTTAAGAACAGTTTGACACTACATATTTTACACGGTATCAAAGAAGACTTTTAAGAAAAAAATCCTAATTATAAACTTAAAATGTTATTAAAATAGGCAAAGGTCAACAACAACATAATTAAATTTGTGTATACATATGTCCATTAGATTTTGCAAAGCCATGTAATAATGCAATAAAGCGACAGACTTTTCTTATATTTACATATAGAAGGCTGCTTAAAGATTTAACTTTCAGCATCTCCTGTTTAATAACAGAGCGAACAGCCCGCGTGCAGCTAATCATGATTCGCACTCCACAGTTATGCAAATAGAACCAAGTTCTATTTAAGTAAAGCTGTTTGCGTTAATTCTCCAACTGCAGCGTTTGGGCAAACAAGCAGGGCGTTTTTTTCAGTTTTTGTTGTTTTCTCCTGTTATTAGTTGGGATTTGCGAGAGGTAAATAATTGCAAAAAGCTCACAGAATATTCATTGAAATTAACCAGAACGCGGCTACAGAAAGCGAGTGGTGATTGCTTTGGCTTAGTTTTTGTTATGTAGTGAATGTTAAGAGCTAATATTGCCGCTAAACTCTAATTACAAAGCCATGTTGCATGCAGCACATGCAGAAGTGTATTGTAATTACATGTGACACTTAATTACCGCACTCTCGAGTGCAAAGACAATGCCAAAGACAGAGTAGGAGACGGAGCCTGAGTCAGAGTCAGAGTCAGAGTCGAGCATCGAGAGTAACTAAGTTAAGCCAAACATTAAACGTAATGCGAGCTATAAAAATAAAGCTGCCGCTGCTGTGTGTGCGGCTGTGTGTTGTGTGTGTGTGTGAGTGGCTCTTGCTGCTATTGCGGGCTACTGCTATGCATTAGCAGCAATGACAAAAAGTCAATAAACGAGCAGCACAGACAAAGGGGGAGCGATGCTTGCCACAGTCATCTCCTGCACCACACAGCGGGCAAATTGAAAAGGGTAATTTTGTGTGAAGTAGGCACCTTTATACGATTACGGGCGAGAGGTTGGGAGGGAGAATAAGGTAAGCTGGCTGGATGGCTGGCTGACTGGCTGGTTGCTATCAATGCTGACTACGCTTGAATTCGCCACTTGGCTTATCATGAGGCGGCGCTTTGCTTTGCTGTTGCCTTGCTTTTGTTATTTGTCGTTTGTTGTTTGCTTTTTATTTTTATGTGGCTGCACGTTTTATGTACATAAAAGAATTAGCTTAAATACAAAAACAACATGTGGTAATAGTAATAATAACAAAGCCAAAACGCACGCACACACAAGCCCGCACACACAGCGAAATATATCAGCAGTTCGCGGCGGTATTGCAGAGGTGGGTGTCTGTATGTGTGTGTGTGTGTGTGTGTGATAGACAAAGCAACGGCAAAAACCGCAAAAGCACTTCACTTGATAATATCACAAGGCGAGAGAGACAAACAGAGGGCGTGAGTGAGCGAGAAAGAGAGAAAGCGGAAGAGGGAGTAAAAGCGCGCAAAGCGCAGACAAAAAACGAACATGACACGCACACACAGCCCTAACAAAACGGAAACTCGCATGCCTCTCACAGTATGTGTGTGAGTGTGTGTACGTGTTTTTGTGGCTTGTTGGTTGAGTAATGATATCACAGAAGCTGTTGCTATTCCCTCCCGTCCGTCTTGGGTATTGTATTGTTATATGGCCACGGAGGCAGCAACATATGTTTTCTTCTGTGCGTGCCATATGGTTTAGGGCTAAACTCTGAATTTGTAGCATACTTCTTTGGGAGGCTTCCGCTTTATTGGGGCAGCCCTTTTTAGCGAGCGCTCATTCTGTCACTGCACATACACTGCACACATGCAGGCGAACGAGCGAGCGCTTGTAGTAATTAAATTTTAAAATGGTCTCCCCTAACAACGCTTATAACTCGGCAAAGTTGGAACGCCTCTAATGCATTCGTTATGGCACATTAACGCTCCCAAGTGCCGGCCAACTGGCATTCATTGGGGATTTGCCCGGGTTCTCTCTGCGGCTCATTGCATTACACGCATCATGGGGTTTTTGTGGGGCCAATGGCCCCACTTTAAACATGACTGCAACTGATGTTGTTGTCTGTCAAGCTGACCGGAAATGTTATTGTAATATGCTCGCATGCTCTGTTAAAAAGTATGCTAAATATTTGATTATGAACTGTGTCCTTCTGCGACGCATGTGCACATATGGTCCGGCTGATAAGCCCCAGGACCCAACTGGACCATTTGCCTATTGTTGCCATGCTCAATCCTTGCCCCTTGTCCCTTTCTAGCTGGCACACTGGTCCGTTTTAATGAATTTTCCCAGCGCCTTTTTCCTTTCTATTTTCCATAAGCCGTTGCCTCTGTTGCCAGCGGCCGTTCCTGCTGCTGCCCAGCGCTCCTCACTGATTTCTATGATGACATGTGCCTTTTTATTCTTTCTCCCCCTACCTTGCTGCTGTCTCGGCTCTTTCAACATGTTTCCTTTGCTTCCGCCTTTGTTGCCGGGTAACTGGGTCAGCGCGCAATTGTTGGAGGGCTGCTAGTGCTGCTGATTCTTGTTCTGCCAAGGGGGTTGCTGCTGCTGCTGTCGGACACTGGCGGAGAGAGATAATCACGCATATGCCTAACGGTTAAGTTTTTGAAGTGCACGACGCAGACGGAAGCAAAGGGTGTCAGCATCATCAGCACCAACAGCCGGTTCTGTGTGTGCGCTCTCTTTGCCAGTGCTCTTGTAGTAATGAGCGTCACATTCTGATATGGCTGATCCAATTGGATAGCGGGTAGAGAGGGTGCTTGTTTAATTTCTTGTGCATGTGCTTCACATTTCATTTTCTACTTGGAGACACTTTAAAGTGCTACACAGCAACCGCCAATTTAACCAGACAGAGTAACATTCAATTGGGCCAACAAATGCTATATGATTAATCAAAGAGACGAGCTTTAGACATTTGAGACGGCCAGCAAGGCTTTCCCTATAGCCTATAGTTATCATGGGAAAGTATTGTTAAGCTAGGACTGGCCAGAAGGTCACGCCTTAAGCTAGCAAATACCATAATTAAGCTGACATGTGCACATTTTCCAAGGTAAATATTATATTAGTTTGTTTTTATCATGACTTGCTAGTCAGCACTGAAAAATATTTAGCCCTTTTCGACTTTTTAATTAAGTTAAATAAAAAAGGGAGAAAAATGAAAGAATGTTTAGCACCAGAGTATCAAAACATAAATAAGTTAAATGCACTGCTGCTAATTATGACAACAAAAGCACCGCATAATTGCATCCGAAAAGCAGGCGCTGCCGTTGAAAAGTGCATTTCATGAAGTGCCAGCAACAGCAACAGCTGTCCGAAAGACCCCAATATATCACAAAACATGAGTCATGGCAAGCACGTATTTTGCCGTACGTGTGTCTGTGTGTATGTGTGGCCATATCAACGCCCTCATATATTGCACGGTCCATGCATCGCCTTTGTTGTTGTAAATTTATGGCGGCATATGAATATTAAAATCGAATATGTTGCTGTCGATTAAAGGCTTTTCGTCCGGAGTGCACGCCCGGCCACCACCCGCCGCAACAGCCAACCCGTTGCAATTGTGGTCGTTTGTTCTGTCTGTCTCTGCAGCACACACCCCCGCTTTCACTTTATGGTGCACTCTTGTTGTGTATGTTGAGCCCACAGCGACACAGATACGACTCGATATTTCCGCTTGTGCGGCATTGCTGGGCTATGGATCGGTCCATTGATGTCGACTGTGTGCAGCACAGCTGTTGGTGCTGTTGTTGATGATGGCAACGATGATAATAATGATGGAGGTGGCATCCTTGAAAATGCAGGCGCATGGTGCAAAAAATTGCGTATGTAGGTAAAAATAACAAGAGCGGAAAGCTGACGACACACGTCTGCACCCCCGCACTCCGAACTGCAGCCATAATAAAGCTACGGCAGCCTTTGAAATAACAATTATTGCTACCAGTCGCTGCAGCAGCAGCAGTTGCAAATATGACGCTGGCTGCTGGCTTTAAATTTTAAGTGCACACTTTAAGCGGCGGCTGCCAAGCAACTTATAAATTCTAATTAGACAGCTATTTGGA